AATTATAATACATTAATTTTTAGTAATTTCCTTGTTTGAACTCTTTAACTTTGAAATAAAAAAAAAATTATATACATATGTTTCTTATAAAGTTTCTACTTTTCTCTATAATTACATAACTAATTCGCTAAAATTCGAAGGCATCAAAATAATTGAAAAGTTCTTTAATTTTGCCAAAACAGCATGTACTAAATTAAAATTTGAATTAAAAAATTAAACATAAATATTTAACAAATATGCAAATTTCTATTAAAAAAAAATCCAACTATAAATTCTATCCAAAACATGAASTGACCTGTAAACTGTTTGCTCGCCACAGCCAGTTTTACGCCAAACAACCAAACTTTTTATGTTTGCAAATTTATGCTGACTTTGGCTTTGAGACTAAAACCATTAATTACTAGTAATAAAATAATATATTTCAAACATTTTAATTTCATGCATAAATTGTCAAGCATTTTTCTGATTAAAAAGCATATTTAATTGAGGCTATCTAGAAGTAATTTATTATACATATATTTATGTGATATAGCAAGTATTTGGATAATTCCAGAAATGTGTTCTACTTTTACTTATCTATATCACATTTAAAAATTAGCGCGGTAGCAGCTGTAAACAAGCAATAAACTAACAAAACTGGTGGCATTCCAACCTCCACTTGTCCGTTTTGGATCGATTAATATAATGTTTAATAAAAAGGCACATTTATTTTTAATATACATAATWCTTTTAAAAAAATATATTTACATACATTTAATTAAATAATTGCTGACAACATTTACAGTTTTCGGTATGAGCTACTCAACAACAAATGTACGCCTGTAATTGCTTTTAAGCGTTCTGGGGCGTATACGCAACAATTTTTATTAGAAACGAACTGTAAACACACCGCAATATTCCGTAGCAAGCACACACACATACAAAACCAAGCCAACATAGTGCTTTACTCTTGGCGTTATTATTTGAACTTTCTAATTACGACCACATTTTGATTGGAAGCGCGAAATTATATATAATTACTTGGAAATATTTTCGGTAAAGTTTTTATATGAAACTATATACCATAAACATTATATGAACGTAAATATGTACTGATTACTGCTTCTTAGCATACAGTTATGCTTAGTGGTACTTTTGTTGTGTTTTGTTTGCTTATAAAATTCATCTGGCGCTCAGGCTTTGTGGAGAGTTTTTTTAACTCCGATTTTGAGCAATTACGGTAAAACAGGAACCAACCTAATTATATATCTATTTTGTATATAATGTGTAATTTTTGCACCATTATTGTCATGAAAATTCATAGCAATAGTTTTTAAAAATTTTACCATTCTTACTAGTTAATATGTCGTTTGTAAGAATTTATTACCTAAGCAAATGTACCCGTATGATTTGCTCATATTTAATTGCTCCTAAGTCACGTCAGTGCTGATACCAACAGATTTCAAAGTGATTACCATTACGAGTAGGGGCTATCATAACGGACCAGTAGCTGGCTTTAAAAACACTAAAATATGCACTTAATTGTATTAAGCGCGGATTTAAACCATTACTTTTCAAACGAACGGGCTAGGTTGCTCTCTTATAAGTATCAACAGATACATATACATACATACATAAATATTTACATGACTTGCGAGGATTAAAGACCGATGATTAAATGGGAATATTTATAGCCGAACTCTGCTACCAATGCAATAAAAAAATGGTCATAAAAGTTACAATTTAACTTTGGCATAATGTAGTTTCGCAAATGAAGTTTCTATTACTAGTACTAGGTGGCACACCCAGTGTAACAGCCTAATAAAGGCGAATTTTTGGAATAATTTGTAGTGATCTGATTTTACACCAAGGGTGACCCTTAATAACACTGGGTTTTGTCAGGTAGCCCTATGTAGAAAATATGCTTGTATCTTTATCAGAAATATTCATTGTAATATAGCAATGTATATAATATCTAAATAACACTGGATACTAAAAAACATAATTTTGAAAGCAAATTCTACTATTTTTGTCCCCGATCGGCCATTAGGTCGTATATTATTATATTTCAYAACAACACAACAATGTTGTGTAGGTCTACAAGTATATATTCCAAGAACAAAAAAAAAATTGTGGCTGAATTAGTGACTACATTCTGCTCTGTTGAAGAGGTAAACAACTTTCTACATTTTTGATAAAGTAGATTTAAATGAAAAGTTAATGGTACAGTTCTTCAAAGCATACTCACTCTGTTGGAACCGTAACAGATTGTCTTGTCTATGATTAGCATAATACCAGAGTATAATGAMTAGAACTAACAGCTAACGAAATTTTTTGTAAACGAACCTTTTTATGTCCCAAAACACCTTAATTTTCAATCGAAAATTCTTAATTTTCGTTAGTATTCTTCTTCGTTAAAATTTCTACTTTCTGATGGTATAAAAAATATATACTATACACATATGTACATTCGAATGTTAATTTTCTCAAAAAAATKCAGAAAAACGTCACAGGATGAAAGTTGTTTTTAATAATTTATGCACCTGTTATCGTAGTAGCAGCTGTAACTTCCTTCCATTCTGACCTCAGTTCCCAAGAATTTTAATTATTTTTCCTTTACAATTTGTTATATTCTCTTCCTTTCCTAATCAGTTGCATTATAATATTTAATAAGCTAAAGAACTRTATAAGTATTATTGAACTAACATTTAACAGATTGATTTAATGCGTTATTCAAACTACACGAATTTTTAAAATACAGCAACAAGCTACACAAACAACGGAAGCTATAATCAAAAACCACAGCTTACTTTWTTCGCAATTATTTGATTTACAACACATAAGATCATAAATTTTAGTAAATTTAGTGGTTTTATTGATTGGCAATATTTATGCTTTAATGAGGATGAAAATTAAAATGTCAGCTTAGCGCCTTTCAGTGCTGAAAGTGTCACAAAACTGTAGTGTACACTTTGATCTGCAGGACCAAATAATAATCGAGGGGTTCCTACATACAAGCGTTCACATATACCATACGGCAGAAAATAAACGATGTGGTGAAAGCTTGGTTTTGTCTGGAATATAGTCAAAACATAACGGCAACATAAGGC